CGGGTTGTGGGCTCGATCCCCAGTGTGGGGCGTGCGGGAGGCAGCCAATCAATGGTTCTCTCTCATCATTGATGTTTCTATCTCGCTCTCTCTTCCTCTCCCTTCCTCTCTGAAACCAATAAAAATATATTTTAAAAAAATGCTTAGAAGATTTGTGTACATTTCCGACATTTGCTCTTTTTGAAATCTGTCTTACACTATCTATAGTGAATAGCAATTGCAAGGCCTCTGGATATACACAACTATCAATATTTCTATGCACTTATTCATGAATCAAATCATTCTATGCATGTGGGCTCTTATTTACTTAAAAGGCTTATATGTTTTAAGAATACATATAAGCATGTCTGATAAGAACAATAGGAAATCTTGGACGAATCGCATGGACACAGCAGAGGAGAGACAACAAACAGAAGAGAGGAATTAAGTGAGACTCCATGCTGATGGAGAGAGAATAGCAGGAAGTGAGAGGAGGAGCAAAACAAGTTACTTACATTGTTACTGCCGCCCGCCCCCCTCAAAAAAACAGCCCCACCAAAAAAAAACTAGGTTTAAGATCCTGATGAAAAACCCATAAGTGATTCATAACTGGAAGACTTGATTCCCCCTCTGCATTGCCCTGGTTTCTCTCCCTTCCCCCAACACACACACACACACACACACACACAGCACCACGCCCTAGGGAGGGAGGATACAATCTACAATCTTGGGACAAATGACTCAGATTAGAGATAAATCAATGATATAAACCTCATACAGTTACATACAGTTATTGGAAAAAATAACAGCCCTTCCCTTCCCTTCGCCTGTCCCCTGATGGTCCCTTAACCTGGAGAATCAGGCAAAGAAACAAGAGCGCAAGACCCAGGGCTGAAGACCTTCCCTGGGAGCCGGAGACCAGAGAAGGTTAGGCCGTGGGTGCAGGAATTTCCCCTCCCTCCCTCACTTATTGAGTCGCCACTTTACCGCCGGTCCCTAGGCGAGGGCGGGTCTTCCCGGAACTTCTGGCTGAGGGTGTTTCCCTCTCCGAGTGACGCAGAGGTTCCCGGCGCCCAGCAGGTAGGTGGCCCGCTCCGGCCCGGGAGGGGTCCCCGCTCACCCGGGCTGAGACCCGCGCCCGCTGCCTGCCTCTCCCACCTCCAGCTCTGCTCGGGTCTGTTTTAGCTGCAAGCCCGAGGGGTACAGGAGTTAGTCCTGGTGTGTGATGGGGGTTTGGGGTGGCGGCTAGGGGGGAGAGGGGGTGCAGGTGCAGCAGGTGGGAGGTTGGGGGCATCTTGTGGGGCTGGAAGTGGGAATTGTCATCTCCTAATCATCCCAAGGCCCCGTTCTCTACTTTCTCTTTCACTTTACCTCCCTCTCCCTCCCCTTCATGCGGACAATTCATAGTTCCTCCATTTGATGTAAATTTATGCTGTGGAAATGGAGCTTCAAACCTCCCCCCTGCCGCCCATCCAACTCGTACTGCAGCCCCTACCGGTGGTTCTCAACCTTCTGGCCCTTTAAATACAGTTCCTCAGGTTGTGACCCAACCATGAAATTATTTTCGTTGCTACTTCATAACTGTAATGTTGCTACTGTGATGAATCGTCATGTAAATATCTGATATGCAGGATGGTCTTAGGCGACCCCTGTGAAAGGGTCGTTCGACCGCCAAAGGGGTCGCGACCCACAGGTTGAGAACCGCTGAACCCTTCTATATACAGTATAGGGTGTCCCAAAATTCACGCAAGATTTGCAATTCAATTCAATTGCAAATCTTGCATGAATTTTGGGACACACTATAGAAATTCAAGGGGCCAGCTCAGATACCTCCTGTGACTCCCTGGACTGAAAATTTAAAGTTTAAATCACTCCCGGTTTCTTTTTATTTTTTAAATATATATATATATATTGATTTCAGAGAGGAAGGAAAAGGGAGAGACTAACATCAATGAGCTGCCTCCTGCACGCCCCCTACTGGGGCTCAAGCCTGCAACCCTGACATGTAACCTGACCTCAGGCTGATGCTGTATCCACTAAGCCAAACCTGGCAGGGCCACTCCCAGTCTCTAGCCCAGCCTCGCACTGCACCCCTATGGCCCGATGGCCCGGGGTAGGCCCACTCCGGGTTCTCCACTGGCCCTTTTGTGGCCCCTGCCCCACCAGCGCCCCCCTCGCCCAGGGCAGCGCCTGGATTCCCGGCACCTGACTCACTGACCCTTCCCTCCCTTCTCCCAGCCTCGGATTCAACTTTGAGCCCCATCAGCTGCTGCGGCCAGCCTGCCTCCCTGTTGCTGGGTGCAATTCTCAAGTGCCCTGGGGAGGGAGGGGGAAGGAGTTCTGACTCAGCATAGGTTGTCCTGGGAAGGGTGGGGGCGAGGCTGCAGAAGAGCAAACCTCCCCTGGGAGGGATTTGTTCTGGGGTTAGAGTACAGAGACAAGCCTGTTTCTTTGCAGAAGACACTCAGCCACTGCTCCCTCTGTCTCTTCACCAGAAAGCGCCCTTGGTGAGTACTGCCCATCCTTACAGATTGGGTCGCCCTCTGCTTTCTTCAGCTGTTATACCCCTGTATCCTTGTCCTTCTCAGGCCATAAGCTCCCTGCTGGGGTTACTAGAAACTCTTTCCTAGCCCAGCCCCAGCCTGTGGGACCCGAGAAAGGGCCCCATCAGATGTGTGCATGGAAACCCTCTCGCTGATTTTGCGTTCCTCTCCCCACACAGCCTGGACCGCCTCTGTGGTTTAGCCAGTGTGAGCCTTTTTGCCACCACCTGTTTTTACCCAATCCCTCAAAACAAAAACAGACGCAAAACAACAAGCCTGCTGTATTGGCGCTGATTTGTAGGTATGGGGCCATGGTGTATCAGAAACCATTGCAATCAGCTGGGTGAGCAACACAGCCATTGCTCTGGCTTGGAGTAGGGTGTGGTGTTTGTTTGTTTTAATATACTTTTATTGATCTCAGAGAGGAGGGGAGGGGGGAAAGAGATAAGAAACATCAGTGATGAGGGAGAATCATTGATCCGCTGCCTTCTGCACGCCCCCTACTGGGGATCGAGCTCGAAACCCAGGCATGTGCCCTTGACCAGAATCGAACCCGGGACCCTTCAGCCCGCAAGGCCGACGCTCTATCCGTTGAGCTAAACTGGCTAGGGCCAGGTGTGATGTTTAAATGGTGATTGTGATGAGCAGAGAAAGGCCTAGAAATAGTCCTGCCAAAAGCTACAGAATCCTTGAAGAGGTGGGTGTGGTTCCAGGAAGGAAAATTATCTTTCTCAAGAACCTGCCTGCTTCTCTGGCCTGTAGGTTCCTGGATGAAGTTTCAGATTCCCAGTGACTCCTCTGCCCCTGCTCGGAATATACACAGTAGTTTCATTTCTCTTCCGCATTCTCTGTGTACCAGGCAACTACATGTTAACTTACTCTTTATTTTCAGTAAAAATCCCCTACTTGGTTCTGGAGGTTGCAGAACCAAGTAGGGGATTTTTACTGAAAATAAACAGTGGGTATTACTTTTGTAGGTGGTCACCACCCTCTGACTGAGCAGGGGGAGGCCAGCTCACAGAAAACTCCGTTCAGAATGGTTGGAGGGCAGCTCCTAGTGAGGCTAGGGCCAATGACTAGGAGCAGACCCACCTGTTGATTCTCTGGATTTAAATAAAGCCACACCCGGCCAGGTGTGGCTCAGCGGTTGAGCGTCCACCCAGGAACCAAGCGGTCACCAGTTCAATTCCTGGTCAGGGCACATGCCCAGGTTGCAGGCTTGATCCCTAGTAGGGGGCATGCAAGAGGCAGCCGATCAGTGATTCTCTCTCATCATTGATGTTTCTATCTCCTTCTCTGAAATAAATAAAAACATACTTTAAAAAAAAGAATAACATAAATTATAACCCATGGACATAATATTTTTTTACCATATCACATGAAATGGTTGTCTGAGATTATAATGAAATTTGGAGGACATGTTTTGATTTAAAATAGAGGGCATGTTGGATGTATGATATAGTAATCGCCTGGACAGAGAGAACAAACTGGTTTCAATAACGAGACCCAAAAGAAAAGTCACAAGGTACGTGATCTAAATTGCAGAAGTCCATTTTGGATCAGGCAACGTCTTACGTGCAGGGCCGAGACTCAACCTGTAAGATAACATTTATTTGTGAAAGCACAGAGGTAGCGGTAGTTCCTAGGAGAAACGGGCTTAGGAAACAAGGGATGGAGGCAAAGGAAAGGCCCTTGGAGCTTTGAAGGGAGGAAGGTCAAGGTGATGCGTCTGGAGGGATGGGGAACAGAAGAGGAAGGGAAAGGCAGGGGCTTGCTCCCTGGAGGGAGCGTCTGCTGGGTCCTCAGTCATAAGGGTTTTAGGGGCGATCCCAGGGGCGGATATGAATAGAATATTCCGCAGCTTTCCAGGTGTGTCCTTTCAGGGTTGTGGTCTCCACTGATTGATTGACCAGTGTCAGGGCAGGGGGGTTATTATTCAGTGCAGCTGGTCCCGAGGTCAGCCATGGCGCTGCTTGCCGGGTTTTGCTGCTTTTCTGGGCTTGGAGCTGAATGAAATACACCTGAAGCCTAGATGTTCTCTCCAGGGAGGAAAGGTCAGGGGTCTAAACCCTAATGAGCAGGGTATGCGAGGGGAGGAAAGGTCAGCCCGGGGACGAGGTCCTACCCGACACATGTCCATGGCTAGGACTGGGGCCTTCCTCCCTGGTGACCTTCTGCACCTGGCCCATCCTCCTTGCTCTGCTCATGTCTGTCTAACGGCCACCTACAAGAGTAACAGCCCCGGTCTACTTAACAACAGTGACAAGAACAACACTCATGTCTGTCATCATTGATTCAATGCCTCCTATGGGCCAGGCCCCATTCCTAGGACTTCATCTATCTTCATTCATCTGTGCATAGACATATGATTTTCATTTTAGAAATACTGAGGTTCAGAGGCGTTCATTACATTCACTGAATATTCCTAAAAAGTGGTATCATAAAAACACTTCCGAAAAACGTGGACCTGGCGCTTGAACCAGCCTTCGGTGAGGTTTCCTGTCTAGCTTTCCACCAGGGTCTGGCATTTAGAAGGAGCCTTGCTATTGACACCTTTATCCCCTTCTGTTCTGCTTCTTTCTCCTTCCTGGGTCCCCCATTAACCCTCTGAATAGATGTTGATGCCAGAGAGAAGCCCATCGGTATTGGTGTTTGGATAGGTAATCCCCACCATGGCGCTCTGTTCATGATGTGTCTTTTCCACAGTAACCCTGTGTCACCATGGTGTCCCCTCCCTGCTACGGCCTGCTAACCCGCCAAAAGGAGCCAGGTAAGCCTGACTCGTGACTCTGACTTGCCATTGGACCTTTGGCACCTCAAACGGTGGGAGACATTCTGTGAAGGTTGGTGACCTCCTGAACTCTGGTCTATCTCTAGTGCCACTGAAGAGCATCTCGGTGACCTTGTCCATTCGAGAGTTTGTGGCCGGTGTGTCTGCTACCTTGAACTATGAGAATGAGGGGAAAGACCCGTTGGAGGCCTTCTTTGTTTTCCCCATGGACGAAGACTCAGCTGTCCACAGCTTCGAGGCCCTGGTGGATGGGAAGAAAATCGTGGCAGAATTGCAGGAGAAGTCAGAGGTATGAGGGATGACTGTATACCTTCCTCCCTTTTTATGCCCATAATGCATGCTCTTTAGGGTCCCTATCAAATGCAACTGCCCAGAAATGTTGATGTCGAATGCTTTGTCCTCTACTCCCCCCTAACCGATAACTTTCCTAAAACCATTGGAAGGAAACACCCATCGAAGGCACTCAGAGTTTGGCTGTGAACTTGGCAAGACCCATCACAGGCTCACCCCACCAGTCTTTGCTTCCTGTGCCACTCGTCTCCTCCTCAAGCATGTCACCTCTCATGTCATGTCCCCTCTCGTGTCCTGTCACCCGTCTTCCCCTGTCCTCCTTAGGCCCGCACCAATTACGAGAATGCCATCAGCCAGGGCCACCAAGCCTTCTTGTTGGAGGAGGACGATCAGGCTGGCGACATCTTCTCTTGTAACGTGGGGAACCTGCCCCCCGGGTCGAAGGCGGCACTCACCCTGAAGTACGTGCAGGAGCTGCCTCTGGAGGCCGACGGGGCCCTGCGCTATGTGCTCCCCGCTATCCTGAACCCTCGCTACCAACTCTCCGGTGAGTAGGCTCTTTCTTCAAATACTCGCGGGGAAAACCCCCCTCAGGGTTGTCGGGGGGCTAAGCATTGTGGGGAGGGGACACACCACTGAGCTCACTTTCCGTAGGAGGGCCTGAGGGCGGTGGCCTTCAAATGAAGACTCCTGCAGTCCCTTCGAAGGACGTGCCCTACACACTCAGCCTGGCTGCCACCGTCAGCTCCCAGCATGCCATCCAGAGCGTCCAGTGCAGCTCCCCCGTGAATCCTATTGAGTACCTTGCCGATAAGACTTCTGCTCAGGTAATTAGTGAGCGCGCTGTGGTTGCCAGCACCCTGTTTTGGGGTCCTGATCTACCTCCCTCCATCTCCTAAATATTGCTCACTTTCCCCTGTTAACCCCGGGGGAATCGCACTGGGCCCCTTCTTTTATTTAATATATTTTTATTGATTTCAGAGAGGAGAGGAGAGGGACAGAGAGATAGGAGCATCAATGATGAGGGAGAATCATTGATCAGCTGCCTCCTGCACGCCCCCTACTGGGGATCAAGTCCACAACCCAGGCATGTGCCCTGACTGGGAATCGAACCCAGGACCTTTCAGTCCCCAGGCCAACGCTCTATCCACTGAGCCAAACTGGCTAGGGCTGGGCCCCTTCTTTGTCCTTATTTCATCTCCAGAGCCTCCTGCCTGTTCTCGCCCTTGCTCCTGGCTCTGTTCACACGTGGAAGGAGCCAGTAGCCCTCAGCTCTGACCTCAGCCCCAGGCAGAGGCACGATGGTTCTAACATGGCTTCTTTGCTTGCTCCCAACTCAGATCTCCTTGGCCGAGGGACACAAATTTGATCGAGATGTGGAGCTCCTGGTTTACTACAGTGAGGTGCACACCCCCAGCGTGGCTGTGGAGATGGGGGCGCCTGCAACAGAGCCCGGTATCTTCCTTCTTCCTTTGTAGTTACCGCCTAAGGTCGTTGAATTACCCTCAAATGACCCTCACTTTTTTTTTTCTATTCAGTAAAGGGTAAAAAAAAAAAAGGGGGGGGGGGGACTAGTTTATACTATGGCATGCAAAAATGGTTCCATATTGAATATCATGTGACTATGTCTTATATGTAAATTTAGGTGAATTAGTAGGTACTTAGACAAAGGACATGAAAAAAAAGTTTACAAGGGAAATGCAGCCAGTTTACAAATATGGGACAATGATCAGCCTCTACAAGTAAAAATAAAAATAAAATGAAAGTAAATGATGTGACTTTTTCACTTTTAAAATGATCAAGGATTTCCAAATCTGGGAACACCGCATGCTTTAAAAGGTGAGGTGAATTTGGCACTCTCGCAGACTGCTTTAAGCAAAAATAATTTGGAATCGAACTTTGGAGAAGAGATTTGGCGATATGTGTCAAAAGAAATGTTCATTTTAGTGATTCCAATTTTAGGAATCTTACCTAAGGAAATAAATTTAAATGTAAGTAAAAATATACACTGAAGTGGCCATTTTCATAATATCAAAGATTAGTAAATAATCAAAATGTCTCACAGTAACTTAATTCACTATGCTGGGATTACTTGATGCGTTATTATGCAGCTACCAAAATCATATATGTTGACAGATTTAAATAATATAGAGAAAAAGCCTTCCAACGAGGATTAAGTTAAAGAAAAGTAAGTTATACAAACAGATTGCTATAAAAAAAATAACCTGTCAATTAAGAAAAACATTTAAAACCACAGGAAATATGCACGTAGTAATTATGATTAGGTTAAGACTAACTTTACATTCTAAATTTTTTGTTTTATCTAATAAATAACTTTTATTGATTGATTTATCATTCCAACCTGTAATCTCACCTAGAGTTCTTTGTTCTTTTTTTAATTGTGGTAAAATTTATCTGACATAAATTTTAAGTAAAAAGAAAACTAATACTTTGGTATAAAATTTACATAACGGAAATTTTACCATTATAATTATTTTTAAAGATATAGCTCTGTTGCCTTAAGTACATTCACTATGTTGTAAATATCACCCTTATCCATCAGGGTTTTTTTTTTTTTTATCTTAACCTAGTTTCTTAATTTCTAAGCCTAAGTTTAGTTTCTTACTAGCTTTAGTTTTTAAGTTTCTTTAATTTGCTTATTTTCCAAGTTTTCCTTAGTATATATCTACTTTTCCTGTTATTTTTTTTTGTTTGTTTATTTGTTTTTATTGATTTCAGAGAGAGGAAGGGAGAGACAGAGAGACACAGAGAGAAACATCAATGATGAGAATATCATTAATCTGCTGTCTCCTACATACCTACTGGAGATCGAGTCTACAACAGGGGCATGTTCCCTGACTAGGAAGTGAACCATGACCTCCTGGTTCCTAAGTCGCTGCTCAAACACCAGGCCACACAGGCTGGGCTGTGTACTTCTTCTTTTAACTGAACTGGTGTAACACATGTCAGGGACCACTGTCTCGGGCCTCCCTGAGCTGCCATGGCCCTGGACTACAGAGACCATGAAGCGTCACTGGAAAGATATTGACACTTCTGAAGCATTTCCCACTTTGGTGGAATGATGCATCCTTGGGGACAATCATAGTCAAAACACAATGTCTTGGGTTAGGCTCTTACTTCCATAGCTACTACTGCTTTAAAGATAAGTAGCTATAGTTGATCTTCAATCAGCCATTTTTCTTATCTCATTGTTGATGTTTGGCCAAGGTAACTTCACACTCCAGCTCACAAATTGCAACTCCTTAATTTGCCTTCAATTGTTTAACCATTTCCTCCCCCCCTCAGGGCAGGCCATCCACGCTAAACCTGTTAGAGGGGGTCCCAACGTTGACCAGGTTTGCTCCAGCTCCTGTTCCCTGAAGCTCTGGGCTCTGTCTTTGTACATTAGTTGCCTGGTTTTGTCCTTCCCTTTGGGCGAGCTCCCCCTTGTGTGCCCAAGAAGTACTCCCACAACAGTATGTATGTTTTTAGTTCCTTTTCATCTCATGGTGTCCTTATTCTTTCTGAGTAGGTTCTTTGATGGGAGATCCATCTGCGATGGTGAGTTTCTACCCGAATATCCCAGAGGCTCAGTCACCAACTGCATGTGGAGAATTCGTCTTCCTCATGGACCGCTCGGGAAGTATGCATTGTCCCATGAATAATCAGAATCCATCTCAGCTGCGCATACAGGCGGCCAAGGTAAGACTAGTTCTTTTTCTGGTCATGTGCTCAAGTAAGGATGGGTCTCCGGGGGTAAATTAGAGTCCATCTGGGTCATCTGGATCAGTGTTTCCAGCTGCACTGCAGCTCACGTGACCACTCCGAGGACTATAAGACTGGGTGGCACACTCTGGGTGAAGGCCCACACCCGCAGGAGTTAGATGGGGAGGGTCTGTGTGTCTTCAAGGATCCTCTCTCACTTGCTCCCCATACTCTCTTCCTTCAGGAAACACTGATTTGGCTGCTGAAGAGTTTGCCTGTAGGCTGTTATTTCAACATCTTTGGATTTGGATCGTCCTTTGAGTCCTTCTTTCCGTAAGTTTCTAGAAAGGCTACAGAGAGTTCAAAAAAAAGATCCTCTAAAGCAGCGGTTCTCAACCTTCTGGCCCTTTAAGACAGTTCCTCATGTTGCAACCCAACCATAAAATTATTTTCGTTGCTACTTCATAACTGTAATGTTGCTACTGTTATGAATCGTAATGTAAATATCTGATGTGCAGGATGGTCTTAGGCGACCCCTGTGAAAGGGTCGTTCGACCGCCAAAGGGGTCGCGACCCACAGGTTGAGAACCGCTGCTCTAAAGAAAGGACTATATTGTTAAAGGGGTTACGGTAGAGTTGACCTTGGCATTGGGGAGTTCAGGTGAGGAGGTTTACAGTGGGGCGAATCTCAATGCGGGGATGCGATACTGGGCAGTGTCAGCTAGCTATGTCCCTGCATGTGTTTGCTTTACTCAGGGAGAGCGTGAAGTACACTCAGGATACCATGGAGCAGGCGCTGAAGAGAGTTAAGAGTATGGACGCTGACCTCGGGGGCACAGAAATCTTGGAACCACTCAAGGCCATTTACAGTAGAACTTCCATCCCAGGCCACCCTCTCCAGGTAAGAATTGGAACAGAGCTCACAGGAAGTGGGTAGAGAGAACTCAACTTCGGTTCCAGAATGTATAGCCCTGAGTTTCATTGTAGGATTGTCCCAACAGGGTGTGCATTTCAGAGTTGTCTGTCATGTAGTAAAGGGGAAAAGACAAGAGGCATTTCATAGAATCCCTCTTCCTTAGCTCCATGCTCTGAACTGTGGAGGTGGAAGCTCTCTTGTGGAATGCCACAGAGGCCTGAGGTGAAACTGGTAGGGTGAGGAAAATGCCCCAAACCATGTAAAAACCTGATGCAAGTGACAGTGGCCCACTAGGGATTTCACACGTGTCCGAAGAGGCATCAGTGTCTCCGGCATGAAATAGTTGAGTTTTTCAAGGGCAAATTGCAGTATTTTAAAAATGAACTTAAAAAAAAAAGTGAACTTCATAGAGACTTGACCAATGTCTTCTGTGTTCAGCTTTTTGTCTTCACAGATGGAGAAGTGAACGACACATTCAGTGTCATTAGAGAAGTGAAAAGCAATGGGCAGAGGCACAGGTATGCAGACAATGTGTGTGTTTCTGGGTGACTGACCACATGTAATCTAGGGCCTTGTGGTTCCAGTGCTGACAAGTAAGGATGGACAGGAATACTATGGGGTTATTTCTGCTTCTTTTTGAATAAAAATTAATGTTGCACAGTTTTTATTCTATGTATTTTGCTTCTTTCCCTCAACAGTATATAGTCACCCATATTTTGCATGGAACCATAGTTAATTTTCACTGGGGTATAGTACTCCACAAGATGGCTAAACCATAATTTATTGATTGATTCTACTGCTGATGGACTTCCATTTAGCTGTTTAAAATAATGCTTTTGTGAATATCCTTGCATTCTGGTACATGTATTTTTTGCCTACACACACTTGTGTGTGCACCTATATATGCATATATACATATTCATTTTCACATGTGTACACACCTATTTCTTTGGATTGGCATGGTTGTGGATTTATTGGGAATGCCCATTTTCAGAATGAACATGGTTCCCATTGCCTTAATAGTGTGGTTGTTTCCTCTAGGTCTTTTTGTAGATATCCTACATCCGATTAAGGATTTTTCTGTTTTGAGAGTTATTTTCTTTTTGTTTACATTTAAAAAAATAATAATGAATGGTTGAATTTCATCAAATGCATTTTATGTACTGATGAGATGAGAGTATGGTTTTATTCTTTATTCTTTCAATGTGTTCATTGTAATGACTGTTGTTAAATATTAGACCAACCTTGCATTTCTGAAATAACCCAAGTTAGTTGTGATCTATTAACAATTTTCATATATTTTTTTATTCCGTTGACTAATAATTGTTTAGGATTGAAAAATATTTTTTCATGAGAAATATTGGCATGTACTTTTAAAATAATATTCTTGTTGGGTTTTAATATCTATGTTACAGTGGTATCATATAATGAGCTGAGAAGAATTGCCTGTTTTTCTATTATGGGAAATATTTTCTTACGTGTTTACTAGATGTTACAAAGAGATTTTTTTCTGTGGGAAGATTTTTAAATCTCTTTATTGAAATAGAACTGTTCATATTTTTATATGTTCTTGATTCTTATGGGAGTTTGTATATTTTATCTAAGTTTTCAAATTTCTCTGCATGAAGTATCAACAATGTCGCCAGATGATGTTATTAAGTTTAGTAGAATCAGTGGTAGTATTCCCTTTTTATTCCTGACACTGATTATTTGTGCCTTCTCTTTTTTTCTTGCCCTAAATGTTTGTCAGTTTTTTAAATATGTTTTTATTGATTTTTAGAGAGAGAGGAAGGGAGAAGGATAGAGATATATAGAGAGAAAAACATCATTTGTTGGCTGCCCCCTGCATGCCCCCTACTGGGGATCAAGTCCGAATCCCTGGCTGGGAATTGAACCAGTGACCACTTGGTTTATGGTCGATACTCAATCACCGAGCCACACAAGCCGGGCATGTTTGTCAATTTTAATAATCTTTTCCAAAAAAACAGCACTTTTTGTATATCCTCTCTTTTGTATGATTGTCTTCTGTATCAATAACATTTGCCCCTATCTTTCTTTTCTTTAAAATTTGTGGGGTTTTTTGGCTGCTTTTTCCCCAAGATCTAGATATGGATGTTCGGGTGGTTGACTTTTAGACTTCTTTTTCTGACATGTGTATTTAGAACTAGAATTATAAACATATCTATAACTAAATCCTAAATTTGGATATGTCATTTTCCATTGGTGTTCTCTACTTTCTAGTTATCGTTATGATTTCTTTATAAAACGTATGTAATTCCGAAGTATACTAACTAATACACTATCTCTTCATGTATTTTTATGTGTTTTTTTGACCATGATGTTATCATGTCACCCTTTCATCCTGTCTCTAACTTCAGGCTGTTTTACAATCGCAGGTGTTTCTCATTTGGTATTGGTGAAGGAGCCTCCACCAGCCTCATAAAAGGCATTGCCCGGGCATCAGGGGGCGCGGCAGAATTTATCACAGGCAATGAGAGGATGCAGTCGAAGGTGAGGGGCAGGCCTGTGTCCAGGGGGGCGGTCCAGAGGGAGTGGGGGCAGTGAGCACCCTGCTGCAAGAGCCTAGGCAACCTATTGCCTCTAGGATTCATTTCTTTATATTCCCAGGGCTTTGGGCTACAGACTCAATGGGACTATTTTTGTCTTTATGTGAACGGGCCCCCTGTAGTTTCTGGGGAAATGGCATCTAATCCCAGCAGTTGGATCCCAACAACAAAATTGCGGAAGAGGTCAGGGCTTTGTGTTGAAAACAAGAAAGAGAGAAACTTAAGAATTTTGCCTGCTGAGCTTGGCATTCTAGGTGTGTGCTTTAGGACCCGGCGGGTCCTGCAGTCTCTCCTCCATGCAAATGACACAAAGAACACAAGCAGGATGGCCCTAGCCGGTTTGGCTCAGTGGATAGAGCATTGGCCTGCAGACCAAAGGGTCCCGGGTTCGATTCCCATCAAGGGCATGTACCTTGGTTGCAGGCTTCTCCCAGGCCTGGGCCCTGGTCAGGGCTCATACAGGAGGCAACCCATCAATGTGTTTCTCTTACATCCATGTTTCTCTCTGTCTTTCCCTCTCTCCCACTCTCTCTGAGGATGGATGGAAAAATATCCTTGGGTGAGGATTAACAACAACAAAAACCAAACAAAAAAACCCCACACAGAAACAGACAGCTGTAGTATGTCTGTAGGTGGAAGAGGCGGTAAACTGCTACTCCGTTTGATGAGTTAGCACAGGGAGGCATCCTCCACCTCTGGTTATAGTGCTGTGTTCCTCTTCCCCAGTTGGTGCCATTTCTTATCGAATGCCTACTTCTCTGTTACTTTATACACATTTATTACGTGTCTCTGCCTTAGCTTCCTCATGTGTAAAGCAAAAGGAAGAACACCCATCTCCTAGTGGAGTACAAGGGTCTACCATGCGTTGGGCTGCATAGCTCCTGGGGCATGATGAACACTCAGGTAGTAGTAGGTATGGTTGCCATTATGTTGTTTTGGTGTTTATTCTGTTCTCTTCCCTCCTCCAGGCTCTCAGGGCCCTGAAGCGCTCTCTGCAGCCTGTGGTAGAGGATGTTTCTCTGAGCTGGGATTTGCCTGCGGGTCTGTCTGCTAAAATGCTTTCCCCAGAACCAACTGTCATCTTCCGGGGTCAGAGGTTGATCGTCTATGCCCAGTTGACTGGGACGATGCCGGTGAGATTCCATTCTTGCTTGTTCCTCCAGCCAGAGTCGCCGCTGCCCTGAGCTCTGCTCCGGACGCTTGCCCGACAGGGTCAGCCTCCCTCCCCTCGCCATCATGTCAAGCCTCTGGTTTTCTGAACTACCTGGTTTCTAGCCAGAAACTTTAAATGTGTGGGGTTGGGGAGCTGCCCCAATTCTGCCATCTCTCCCTGGGTGATCTCTCCCTCCCATCCTGTCTCCTCTTCTCTACTTTTTAGCCAGCAGAGGCAACAGGGAAAGTTTGCCTCAAGTACACCCTCCAGGGCACGCAGTTTGAGAATCAAGTGGCATTTTCTCTACAGCCCAAGTCAGATGCCAAGTAAGATTTCCATTTTTATTTCCTAGTTCTTTCCTGTTCTTTCTCCTTTCCCTCCCCTCTCCTCTCCTTTCATTCCTCTCCTTCCCTTCCTTCACCTTCCCTTCCTTCTTGTCTCTGCCATCATTGGGGGTCAGTTTCCTGCTCTTCATTTTGGGCTCAATGATTTCCCTAAAATCACTTTTCCTTTTCCGGCCACTCAGATTTCATCTCCCCCCTATCTTTATGTTCCTCCCTGCGCCATCCCTAGCCTGTCAGGGCTCTGAGTAGCGGCACAGATGAGCTTCTCCCTGAGTCACAGGAATCTTTTTTCTGTTAGCCTCACCATTCATCGCCTGGCTGCCAAGTCCTTCATCCAGACCAAGGACATGGGCTTCGAGGAGACTCCAGCAAATGATAAAAAAGAGGTGCTGAAAATAAGCATGGAGTGCGGCGTCATAAGCTCCCACACGGCTTTCATTGCCATCAACAAGGATCTCAACAAGCCGCTTCAGGGACCCCTGACTCGCAGTGACGTTCCAAGTCCAATGCTGTTTGCTGGGTCTATGATGATGTGTTCTCCTGGTATGCCGAGAGGTGCTCCTGTTCGGATGTATTGTAGTTCTGCTCCGATGTTTGGTGCTTCTGCTCCGAAATCAAGGTTCAGCCTTAAAAGTGAGTTTTATTCTAATCAAACTCACATAAAATAAGGGGCCCTGTATACCTGGATACATCATTTAAAGCAAATGTTTATGAAAAGTCCTTCCCTCCCCACCTGCCTTGTCTCTCCACATCTAGAATCTCTGACTGCTGTAAAACTTTTCTGCCCAAGAAAACTAGAAAGTACACCATTAGCAAGAAAATGTAAAGTACTCCAAGTGGGGGGGGGGAGGGGAATGAGGGAAATGAAACAGAAAGTGCACATAAAAATTGAGTAGTTACACTGCCTAAACTTGAAGCTTATGTATCCTATTGATACTGGTTAATGATTACACAGATGGCCGGCAAACAACCTGGTAGTGTTAGGAAATGGATGCTGATTGCTGAGCTGTCTCAGATGTAAACCAAAACTGGAGAGCGAAATGCTCAGGGAGACAGAGCTTTTGTCAAGGAATGTTGAGGGGCCGATCAGCTGCAAGGACTCACTGAGATCACCATGGAGGATCACCTGTGTAGCAACAGAACTTGCTTCAGCGGGGCTCTGGTACCTGTTGAGTCCACCCCATGAGTACGTCGCTTGTGGAGGTGGTGGGTGGTGATACTTTGACATGGTCTGAAGCTGTCCACTGGGTGCACTGGCTCTGGGGACTCCTGGGAGATTCAGGCCAAGGTCAGCCACTGCCTTTGTTCTGCCCCAGGGGACACCCAGCATGAGCTACAAAATGATCTGCAGATGGCTGCTACTTGTGTTGAGCTTGGAGGTGCCTAGGAGAAGCCAAGCTACAAACCAAGGCTGGCTGTGGCTAGTGCCGGGCCCAGGGTCACTTGGCAACAGGTACCAGGCCAGATGCTGCTTATTTGAGAGACTTTAGGAAAATATGAAGCATGAGCCAAGACAGGCCATTCTGATGGTAAAGCCACTAGAAACAGCTGGTGTGGACAGGGCCTCCGGGAATCACCAGGGTGGGGCTAACAGTGTTAATCCAGGTTGATGGAGACTCAGATATGGTGGCCACCTGCTGGCTCTTTGGGGGAAGGTTCAGCAAAGTAACAATGGCCTCTACCAGTACTTCTGTCTGGAAGAAAGCTGCCCATCCAGCTCTTGCTGTGATGCCAGGCCATTCAGTACCTCCTTGTTTGCCTCAGGTGCCTTTCAAGTAGCTGCCCCATGCTGGAGCTCTGAGGAGTAAGTCCGAGTTAGTCCATATGTGGACTCTTTAGGAGGAACTGTTCAGAACTCCTGCAGCCACTGTCTCCCTCAGCCTCGTCCCTCAATGTTTTTTATTACCAGAAGTTATGGGGACTTTTCTTCCCAGCATTGGAACCCTGGGCGGGAGACTTGGTGTGGAGCAGGGATTCCTTGCTCCTCAGGGGGTACCTGTATAGCCAAGACATCCCCCCTAGTTTTTATCTGCCCCACATGGGTGTGGCACCAATCCCTCCTACCAGTGTGGATATGGCTTCTTCTTTAATTCCATGGTTCTAGGACTTCCATTGAGCTTGATTTCAGGCAGTTCTGAATGTGGTTGTTCTGTAGTTGAGTTGTAATTTTGATGTGGTTGTAGGAGGAGGTAAGGATACTGCATTTATTTATACCACCATCTTGTTTGGAATTTAAGGATATTTTTAAAGTATATATTTTTTTCAATTAGTTTTTTACAGGTGGAATAATTCTGCTTGATAGCCAGAAATCTTGGCTTGGAAGGGAGTAGCTGGAGTAGAGTGGAGGTTGAAGCCATTTAATTGATTTGAGGAAGCTAAGAAGCTTTGAATTAGGGGGTTGGATTAGGTTATGTACATGGGTGCTTAATCTCTAAAGATGGTGGCAGACTTTGCAAGGAAGGGAAAGTCTTCGATCTAGTTTTCAGATACTTCAGTGGATGTTGAAAAGGGACAAAGAAGTTGGAGGTTGACAGCAGTGAGGCTACGAGAAAGGTAATCCAGGTGAAGGTGAAGAGTCATGCTATGGATGTGGCCATTGGGACTGAAGAGGTTGCCAACCCCACCTACCTCACCTCTCAAACATGGATGCTTGGGTTCTGGTACCTGGAGCAGCCACCATTTGAGAAGGATAAAGGGAGAAAAGATTTCTGGGAGGAAAAATTAGTTTTAAGTTGAGATGAGTAGTTGAAGGAAGCCTCGATAATGAAACTAAAGATGCAGAAAAGATCGTTGTCGTGTATCAGGAGGACACCGTTGGAAGGGCTCTGAAGCTGCAGGATTTGGACTCCTGGGAGAAGAAAAAATGCACAGTAAAGATGATGAAGAAAAAAATGTACAGTAAAGAGGCTGACATGGATAGGAGCATATGTCTCAAATCATCAGGGCCCTTTGCCTACAGCAGAGAGCATAGGATGCCTCAGTGTCAATGGCTATATTGTATTTTTTGAGCACATACAAAGCCCTATTCTCCTACCATCCTCCAGCATCTCTGCCCAACTCATACCAGAGCATGTCCTACCCGAAGAACGGTTATGATCCCGATAGGTCCACAATTAACAAGAGCCTGCATTCTCTAGGTGAGCATCTTCCCAGGGATGTTTTCTCACCAGGGCTTGTCTGTCACACATATAGGATTAGGCAGACGACTGAGGGGTGGTGGTCCTATATCATTGAAACACCAGCCCGATGTGGAGCAGTATGATGATTGTTATGATTCCGGTGAAATGTCACAAGAAGGTTCTTCCATTGACATGACCGACTTGGAAACTAACCATACAGGTGAGATGACCCTCAGTTCTCTTTTCTAATCTATGGGAACTGAAGAGCTCATCCTCCGTGTCCTGCTGTCTTGTGGCTTTCTCTACCCAGGAGGTGATCGGTTGGAGAAGCGTCGGGGCAGAGGGTAAAATTTCCCAGTCTTGCCCTAACTGGTTTGGCTCAGTGGATAGAGCATCGGCCCGGGGACTGAAGGGTCCCGAGTTCGATTCTCTTTCCTAATCTATGGGAACTGAAGAGCTCATCCTCCGTGTTCTGCTGTCTTGTGGCTTTCTCTACCCAGGACGTGATCGGTTGGAGAAGCGTCGGGGCAGAGGGTAAAATTTCCCAGTCTTTTTGTCAGGGCCAGCCCCGCTTCCATAGTCTACAACACAGGACACTGAAGCCTGCCCCAGTGGAGTTCGGGGTGAGCCCCTCTGCCATGTCTTCAGCTCGCACGCCTTGCCTACTGACAGGGGCCCTCCTCTTGCAGAACCCACCTGCCAGCCTGTTTGGGCCCCAGCTGCATGAATCATTCTCTTACATGTTGGGTTTGAAGACCGACCTTTGTCATGCTTTCTGATGACTTTCTGTCACTACAAGCTGATTTGACAAAAGAGAATTGGAATCTTTCTCCTGATGCATGATATAAAGCAGGGGTGGGCAAACTTTTTGACTCGAGGGCCACAATGGGTTCTTAAACTGGACCGGAGGGCCGGAACAAAAGCATGGATGGAGTGTTTGTGTGAACTAATATAAATTCAAAGTAAACATCATTACATAAAAGGGTACGGTGTTTTTTTTTTTTAGTTTTATTTATTTCAAACGGGCCGGATCCGGCCCAAGGGCCGTAGTTTGCCCACAGCTGGTCTAGTCTCTTCCCATTTTGCAGCAGGGGTTTATGGTGTACAGTCGTTTCATCGTTCAGACACATCTTTCCCACTTACTCTCTCTCTATGCATTCTTCTTAGGCTGCTAATACAGAAAGGGCTTCGAGGTCTAAGGTAGATTCAGATCTCTTGTACTACCAGTTACTGTGGGGTCTTAAGATAATTAGTTAACTTTTTACTTGTTTCAGTTTTTAGAACTATTTTTATTGATTTCAGAGAGGAAGGGAGAGGGAGAGATAGAAACATCCATAATGAGAGAGGATCATGGATCGGCTGCCTCCCGCATACCCCCTACTGGGGATTGAGCTCGAAAACCCAGGCCTGTGCCCTGACAGGAAATTGAACTGTGAGCTCATGGTTCATAGGTTGATGGTCAACCACTGAGCCACACCGGCTGGGCAAGGGAACTTTTTAGAGCCTTAGCTTCCTCAGCTGCACTATCATGCACCTCCTCATGAGAACTTCCTTCATGTTATCCACGGAGTAGATTCTCAGTGTCCCGTAGTGTTGGTTTCCTGTGTTGTCCTAAAACCTAGTAACTAGCAATATCCCCACTATAATGAGCTCCCTCTCTCATGGAGCCTCTTACTAATGTAGAGAGAAGAAGTTCCCAGCAACTACTATTTGCTGGGAGCCATTTCAGCGCCTTTCTGGGTCCTGGATGTTTTTCCTCATGCACCAGGCCTTATTGTCTCCTGTTTACAGAGAAGGCGGTGATTTCTGTGGGTTAAGTAACTATTAGATTTTGAGTGCAGGCAGACCTGAGATTCAAACGTAGGCTTTTGATATTCAGAACCTTAGTTGTTGTTGTTGTTTTTCCCATTAGAGTAGAACTGTTTTTCTTGCCTACTAATTTCTAAGTTGCACGGAGTATATCATCCCATAGGATAGCTATCCAGATGTGAGATGCTTTCTATGGAAATTCTGTGGTCTTCAAACAGCTTTTACACCATCAGGATTGGACGCTAGACCATGTTTTTAAACATGTTTTTACTGATTCTTAGAGAGGAAGGGAGAGGGAGAGAGAGAAACATTGATCATGTGCCCTGACTAGGAATCGAATCCACAACCTCCCAGTACATGAGACAATGCTCATCCAATTGAGACACACCAGCCAGGGCTAGACTATTCTTTGAGGTAGACTGCTAACTGCTTCCTTTATTTATGCCTGCTCTCTTTTGCCATTTTTGATCATTAAAATTCAAGCTATATTTATCTAGATGTTTGTTTTTTAATCTTTTTCCATTGATTCTTAGAGAGAATAGAAGTGAGGGGGAGAGACAGAACAAGAGAAATATCGATGTGAGAGAGACACATGCATTGGCTGCCTCCCACTTGAGCCCCGACCAGGGGCTGGCATCAAGCCTGCAACCGAGGTACATGCCCTTGATCAGAAACGAACCGGGGACCTTTAGGTCTGCAGGATGACGCTCTATCCACTGAGCCAAACCGGCTAGGGTTATCTGTAATTTTTTAATATACCTAACGTTTTAAGTGTCATTGCCACAAGACTGGATAGGACTTAAAATAGCACTATCATGTGAGTTCTTTAGAACCCTATATCTTCCTCTCCTTTTTGAATTTTTCAGTGCATCTCTCCTAGTGGCAGCACAACACTGGGGTGGCCTACATTGTCACAGAGAAAATACATGTCTCCTGGGTGAGGACTGAGATGGGGGACTTGGTGGGATCTGCACTCTTGCTATAGCCCAGTGATGGCGAACCTATGACACTTCTGACTCGCGATCTCATTTTTTTTTATTTTTCTTTGTTATAGGCTATCATGTGAGTTCTTTAGTACCCTATATCTTCCTCTCCTTTCTGAATTTTTAAGTGCACCTCTCCTAGTGGCAGCACAACACTGGGGTGGCCTACATTGTCACAGAGAAAATACATGTCTCCTGGGTGAGGACTGAGATGGGGAACTTGGTGGGATCTGCACTCTTCCTATAGCCTTTCTCTGGATTCAGACACCCTCCCTGACGTATGCCAAGGGGCCAAATTAAACTTTGTAGTATCTCATCTTCTTTCTTTTTTTTTTTCTCCCCCAAAATCTTTGAAGATGATCCTCTTGTACAGCTGATTTCCCTCCAAAAGGCAGATGGTTCCTGGGATCTGAATGAAGGTCTGGCCGTGGTCTTGGGTATGAGCTTGGGAGATATGCAGGCTGCACTCCCTGTCAAGGTGAGACTCGGGGAAGAAAAAAGGAGTTTGTCTATTTTTGAGAAGTTGGGATCAGTAAAGAGAATTGGATGGATCATGACTCATCTGAGGAAGCAGAATATAGGAGATCATACACTAAGTAAATCTCTAATAAATAGAGGTTGAAGGTATTTCCTGGGTAGGTTAGAACAGAAGGAACAAGGAACTCATGGTCCAGCCAGAAGGAGTTGATGGATGACAAAGGGAACGTAAAAATTCTCTTTTTCTTTGACTGATTCCCTGCCATCCATCTTAGTGATAATAACAGCTGTTCATTGAGCAGTTACACACTGCGCTACACACTTAACTTTCATGATCTTATTTTTTCATCACAACAATGAAAAAAGGTAAGTCCTATTTATGTTGCTGTTTATAGATGAAGAAGCTGAAACCCAGAGAAGTATAGTCATGAGTCTAAGTTTACCTAACTAGTTAGTGGCAGATGGGGTTCAATTCTAGGACTGACTATCTTTCGAACCCACATTATTGCTCCTCTTCTTGATGAGGAAGTTGTCCAGAAATTAGCAAAATCTAAGTTAGGAATGTGATGTATAAACAGGGATAATATAATTATTGTAAATGGGTTCAAGTCTGCTGATGAGGACAAATTACATCCTAGAATTTCAAGATAGCTTACTAACCGAGATATTGTGAAATAGAAGACAAATGCCAAAAGCCTGAAAGGCAATGTTGTTTTGAATTTACAAAATCTGGAAGGTGATTCAATAAACCTCAGATATCCTATAATTACAACAGCAATACAGTATCTACTAGTTCGATGTAACTGTCAAGCTCTTCAAATATGGTCAATGCAAATGAGGAAGTACATTTTTAATTGAATTGAGATGTGCTATAATTGTGAAATGCATTCTGATTTTATAAACTTGATATAAAAAGGAATGTAAAATATTAATTATTTTATATGGATTATATGTTAACATGATATTTTAACTATATTAGATTATATTTATATAATCTAATCTAAGTGGTTGACTGTGTACCTATGCACCAGGAGGTCAGGGTTTGATTCCCAGTTAGGTCACATCCCCTGGTTGCAGGCTAGATCCCCAGTAGGGGGCCTGCAGAAGGCTGTCAATCAATGATTCTCTCTCATCATTGATGTTTCTGTCTCTTTCTCCCTCTCCCTTTCTCTCTGAAATCACCAAATATATCTATCTATCTATCTATCTATATATATATATAT